TTAGGTTGTCCAGTTATGAATGCGCGCCTGCTCTTGAACAGCGTACCTTAGGGCTATACAATTTTATCAAACCCTATTCTCTATATGCTGTTCAAGATTTCTTATTTATTACAACTTTTCGTGTTTTTGACGTTAAACTACTTCATTTTTTATTTAATTTCCGTGTTTAGATGACCGAGACGAAGTTTCGTCTTCGTGCCAGTCTTTGGTATGACTTCAAATTGGGTAAAAATGCCGTTGAATCTCATCGAGATCTCTGCAAAGTATTTGGCGAAGATACTATTTCGGAAAGCCAGTGTCACCGATGGATTCAACGATTTCGAGAAGGAAATGAATCTTTGGAAGACGAAGACCACCAACGACGACCTCCTGCGATCGATAATGCAGTACTGAAGCAGGCGATAGAAATGGATCCTCGACAAACTACACGTGAACTTGCAGAAATATTTAGAGTAAGCCCTCAAACAATTTCCGAGCATTTAAATCAATTGGGGAAAACAAGCCGACAAGGGAAATGGGTTCCTCATCTTTTCAGCAATGCCAATAAAGCTACTCGTGTATTCTTCTTCGTTTGGCAAAAAATACTGGGTTTTACGATGAAAAATGGATTCAATATGATAATTCTACACGAAAACGGCAATTGCTAGAACCTCGTGAGGAGCCAATAACAACACCAAAACCCGACTTCCATGGCAAGAAAGTGATGCTTACCGTCTGGTGGAATTCCCAAGGCATTGTTTATTTTGAGCTGCTTAAACCTGCACAAACAATCACGGGTGAAACGTATGCACAACAACTGGGACGAGTGAACAATGTATTGCTACAAAAAGGCCTTGATCCTTCAAAAATAAAGTTCATTCAAGATAACGCCCATCCACACGTTGCAAAGATTGTTCAGGAAAAACTCGAAGAGTTGGGCTGGGAAACTCTCCCGCATCCGCCATATTCTCCGGATATTTCTCCTTCGGATTACCATTTATTTCGCTCAATGCGAAACCATTTGGCCGGAAACAAGTTCCAAGAAGTTCAAGAGGTCGAAAAATGGATAGCCGACTTCTTTGTCTCAAAACAAGCCAATTTTTACGCGAAGGGAATTCATTCTTTGCATGGAAGATGGAAACAAATATTGTTAACAAATGGTGAATATATTGTTGATTGAGCTGTCAAATTGTTGGTTTTAAAATAAAGAGTTGTTATCTTAAAAACGCGCATTTATAACTGGACAACCTAATATCAATACAGACCTATTATCTGTACCGATGGATTTGTGGTTTTACACAGCACCGATACACTCGCCAACAGAATCTCGGCCATGTCGCTTATATTGGAAAGTTCGGGAATTCTTTGATTAGATTTAAGATTAACATTTAACTAAACTGACTTTAACTTTCTAGCTTTAGATCCATGTGGCTAAAGTGAAGTCCATGGAAAGAATAATGGGCGCTAGACGTCTTTGTTTGCCCAAGGTCAATATAAATATCAAAGGTATAAAATAATGAAACTGCCCGATGCTTAGCGAAACGATGTTCGCTTTCGCACACTTTGTTTTGGTGCGAATGGGCTAGGTTGCAGTTTGAAATTTGCTAATCTTTATTAAGTTTTTACAAAAGGAAACAACAGGGCACCTACAGGCCACTTTTGGAAACTTTACAAGAGCAAAAGCATTTAGGTGAAAACCAAAAAAAAACTCACAAACTTCTGCGATCCGGTGTTTAGGCTGTTGGAGAGTCGCAGGCGTCTCGTGGCTCGCGTTGCACCCGAATTCCGGGGGCCGGCAGAAATAGCTCTGCAAAAAAAAAACAAATAATAAGGGGCTTACCTTTCAAATAGCAAAGAGAGACAAAAAAGTTCAAATGGAATAGGCACCCGTTAGGGAAGGCTAGTAGAATGAACGATTGTTCAGGAGGTTTCGCGCGTTTTTTTCCTTAATTCAAATTGAAGATACTCAGCTAACTGGCCAAAGACTCATTTGCCTTAGGTACAGTACCGAGCAAAAGTCTTGCAACATCACTTTTTCAAAAAAATCGATGAAATTTTTTTATAGAAAATGCCACCCGTTCGTAGGGCTTTTTTGTTTTTAATTAGAATAATATATGTACACTTTATTTACAAAAACAAATTTAAAGTTCAGCGTAAAGCAAAAAAGTAAATGACAAAACTACTAAAAAATACCCTAAAAACTGGGTGCAAAAGTCTTGCAACATTTTACAGAAACATCAAAAATTAATATTCAATCGGTCCACCTTTTGCCAAAATCACTTCATTAAGTCGTTTAGGCATTGAGTCGACTAATTCGTGAAGAATTGCTGGGCGAATTGAGCTCCAAACTTTTCGTATGTAGAACCATAAGTCAACTTTTGTGTGAAAGTCTTTTCCTCGTAACTTTGCCTTCACGTAAGCCCATAAATTCTCAATAACGTTTAAATCAGGCGACATAGGGGGCACTTTGACTAACAAAACATTATTAAGGGCAAACCATCCAGGGAGATGAGCTTTTCCTCCATTTGAGAGATTCACGGTGCGACCCATCATGAACTTGCTCTTGTGGACCGGCGAGTTGTCCTGGTAGAGAAACCATTCAGGAGCCATGTGATTCTGAGCAAATGGAAGTAGACATCCTTCTAGTATTTCCATATACTGGCGAGCATTCATGGTTGACTGGACGAGGACGAGCGGACCTGCCACATTTTTTGTCATCGCCCCTAGAAAAAAACAAATTAATGCATGTATTAGAAATAAGGCTTACCAAAACACATGATTGATCCTCCGCCAGCTCGCATTGTAGGTCGCACATATTTAAGGAGTATTCGCTTTCCAATGGGTCGTCTGATCAAGTGGTTGCCTTTTGGAGAAAAGATATCCACTTTTGTTTCATCGACAAAAATCACGTTGGCCCAATCCTGCTTTGTCCAACTTTGGTACGTCCTGGCGAATAGAAGCCGTTGTTTCCTATGGCCAGCGGTCATCAAAGGCTTTCGTACAGCCCGCCGGCTATACAGTCCTGCTTGAGTCAATCGTCGAGAAACGGTCCATCGAGAGATATCCTTGTTTGCAACATCCTTGATCAGCCGAGTTCCCTCAGTTGATGTCATGTTCGGATCCTTCTTGGAAGCCATCACAAGTATTCGATCCTCTTTTGCTGTTGTTCTTCTTGGCCGTCCTTTCTTCTTTCTTCGGTGCATAAGTCCAGTTGTTTTTGCTTTTGAAACAATGCGAGAAACGGTCGAAAGATCGCATTTGAAGAGATCGCAGACAACGGCTCGAGAAATTCCTTTTTTTCTTGCTTTCATGATTTTTTCTCTTTCGGGAGTCGTCAAGTAGGTACCTGGCATCTGAAAAAAACAAAAATTAGTGTAAATTAATAAATTTGAAAACAATAAAAATGAGAAACATAAAATGTTGCAAGACTTTTGCACCCAGTTTTTAGGGTATTTTTTTAGTAGTTTTGTCATTTACTTTTTTACTTTACGCTGAACTTTAAATTTGTTTTTGTAAATAAAGTGTACATATATTATTCTAATTAAAAACAAAAAAGCCCTACGAACGGGTGGCATTTTCTATAAAAAAATTTCATCGATTTTTTTGAAAAAGTGATGTTGCAAGACTTTTGCTCGGTACTGTAATAATAGATTTGCCAATGGATATAAAAAGAAAGAAAAGATTTGCCGAGAGGTAAAATCTAATTGTCTACTTTTTTTTGCGAAATCAAAATCCCACCCTCATAGTAGTGGAAATCCGGATTCAACACCATTCCTGTAGATTTTTTATGAAACAAATGCTATTCAATCAGCCAAAAGAGATCGGTCCATTCTTGATCAAGTGCTTGACTTTGGCCATTTGGAAGGGCATCAAGTCGCCGACACTTTCCAGCTGTGCAGCAACGTTTATCTGGAAAAAACTTTGATAAAAATAAGGGCACACTCTGAAGACCATTTGCAAATTTTACCTGAATACCCTCGATAGGGTAAAATCTCCTGGAAATTTGACACACCCAGCTTTAAGAAATTGCTCCAGTTTAGTTACGCAACTAGAAAATTGGCACAACTATTCTGCTTTATGCTTACTGATTTCCTTCCATACTGAAAATAGACGCTGTGCCATTCAGGTGAAAAATCCCAAACAAGTCTAAAATTTGAACGAAATTCACTCGCTATAGAGCCTAAAACCGTACCAAAAAGATTATAAATGATTCCACAAAGATTCCAAATAATTCGAAAAGGTTTTGAATAACTTCAGCTTTAGGAACACCCCGCAACCATAAGTGCTACGATGGCATTCGATCACTGTATGCGCGATATTTCACTCTTCCGTCCCGGTCTCTGCAAAACTACTCTTCCCGGTCTCTACAAAACGTTGGATAAAGTGAAGGTAGTATATTATGTGGAAAAACAACAATATTCACATAACTTTAGAAAGCGATCCTTGGAAAAAACGATGAGATCATCACAATGCTGAAGATTGGTCTTTCCTTCCACGAAAACTCGTGCTGTGCTATGCTCTTTGGGACGATTTCAACTTAACAAATTGACAAGCATTTCATATTAAAAGCAAACGTTTAAACTGATTCAATCAGAATGTCTTAGACGAATGTTTATTGGGCCAAGTCAGAGCCAGAGACTAAGCTGGACCAGGGTTTATGTATTAGGCTGTTCAGAAAGTCTTTTCGTTCCTTTTCTTTCTTCCGTTTAAAACCAACAGATGCACCAATTGAACTACGGTCAATTATTTTTCTGCAAAATAAAAGTAAAACGGGTTTTAAAATGGTTTATTTGTGGATTTTTCTGTGAGTCTGATGTCGGGTAGTCAAAAAGGGCGACGGCTCGATGATGCGGTTTAGACACTTTAGCTAAGGAAACCTATTTTCGTTTCAATAGATAAAAGATAGAGCATAAAAAGTTTGGTATATAGCCAAATTTACAAAAAAATTCATCCAGCCAATTTCTTCGTAGAGGTTTTTATAGATTTTTCCGAACTCACGAATTTGCTTGAAAATGAACGCAAATTGACTTAAAAGGATGGGAAATTGAACAATAAACAACTTTTTATTTAGAGCAAACCAGCAAATTGGTGAATTTGTTATTTTTCAACGGAAGTACGAAAAGGAACGAAAAGACTTTCTGGATAACCAAATATTCAATATATTAAAAACCCTTTTTTCTAGACGAACGGCCCGCGCCCTCTCGGCGGCCACATTCACAGCTGAGGGAGCTGTTGAGGTGGGTTTTCATGAGAAACAGAGCAAATGCTTCAGTTAAACGTATTAAAGAGTAAGATTAAAACGATAATCACTATTTTCTAGACGGTCTCGCAAAGACAAGTGCCCGCAATCTTCGGCAAATCTCGCTACACGCCACTCCACGAGCAAAACGTTCCACCACCACAGCCACCAGTGGTTTGTTGAAAGTTTATAAGTGTCCAACTTGTGCCAATACCCGTAAAAATAATATTGTACCACTTTGAGCTTTTCATCATTTTTATTTCCAGGATCCAAATACCTTGTTCATGGCCTGTTGTGAACAACGAGGTGGGAAATTCGTCTAAAATAGATCAATTTTCAATGTTTAGGTCTTCCCGATGCATCTCGTGCTATGAGCGCTTTGAGAACATGAAGAGTTGCTTCTGGTACGATGCTGTGAACCGATTTGTTTAGCTGCCGCAATCTTTCGGTAACTAACCGTGATCTCATCATACCTTATGAACATATTTATTTAAAGAATAAATTTGAATTGTAATCCCCAAAACAACTAAACCTTTCAAACTTTATCAACAAAATAAACAACAACTACCGGTTGAAAACATAAAGAATAAGTGTAATAATGATTCGAGGGCTGAGAAATAAAAATTCGGCATCTAATCTATTTGCTGGTCCACCGTCCGTTTCATATACTCGTCCAGCTGACGGTCAAGTTCCTAGAAAAAAACGATTGTGCAACATCGCAAAGAATAATACCTCTTGAGAAAGTTTCTTAAGCGACCATTTGGTGGAGGAAGTGGGCGATGGTTTATGCTTTGGTTTGACTTCAGAGGCTTCATCAGCTTGATCCTTAACAAGCAAATGCTATGGTATAAATTAATATAAACTACCCTGTGATCGTGTTGGTCCCACGAAGGTCGGTCCGCACTGAAAGTTTACACATTAAACATGTTAGTAATTCACATACACGCTATCTCACTTAATAATCACAATCAGACAACAAAAACAAGCACAAAAAGTAAGCAATTCAATACGTTAGCTTAAAAAAGTATCCCACGATAGACGTCCACCACTGTCACTGCTCCTTGACTTCTTGACACGACCACGAATCGTTCGGTGAACTCTACCATCACTCCGCGAAGCTTTAGCGCGAGCAAACCTAGAACGAGCATCTCAAAAATCCCCAAAATAAACCTACTTAATGCGCTCACGAACCGTTCCGATAGTTATAGTAGAAACATCATCAACCTAAGAATGATTTGAAAAATTATTACAACATACACAAACCAATGTGATCTTGAGACGCTTGTCATCAATTGACGCACCATGAAGGTCTTTCATAAACTTTTGTGCGTCATCAAAGGAGGTGGCAAACTAAATCAATAGCTTGAAAACAATTGCAACAGAAAAATACAAACTTGTGCCGTTCCAACTTGTTCGCCTTTTTCATTGTAGTGGACGAGAGGATGCTTGCCGTTGTAAGGCTCCACCAGTTCCTCCAAGTCAATCTGATTGAATTGTGGCGACAAGTTGGCGAGAAGAATGCGGACAACAGCGGTGGGAAGCTTGACACCACTTCTGCGCCTCGAGTCTAAATACAAAAAATAGTTCTGAACATAAAAAAACTGAAGAAACGTAAGTAGCTTTACGATGATAAAAGTTAGACCTTAGTCGAGCTACGACTACAAGTAATAGACTAAAGTACACACCCTTGCGATCACGACCCGTGTCATGCACTCCTTCAAATCTGTCATGTTGCCAACGACCACTGAAACCGGATGCTCGATGACTACCAGACGAACCACCCTTTGCGCTGCTGCGTCCACGAGAGCTAAAGTAAAATAACAATTATCGGCAAACAAGTAGGTAAACTAACCCTTTCTTCTCGGCGACAATCTCGTCGAGTGCGCGATCAATCACAGTTGAATACATGAAGTCTAAAATAAAACATCAGAATATGGTCAAAGTCGATAGAGAAGAAACGAAAACGCATCATTAGGTTTTTTAAACACTTTCCGAGGGGTAAAGATTGCCGTTAAAGCATTCGTTCAGCAAGTTAGCAGTTAGCAGGCTCAATGCACAAGACAGCAACTTGCTTTTAGAGAAGTCTGAGGGAATTAGTGTTGAAAAGAAAACAACACAAATGTTGAGAAAGTGCAGCCGAAAATGCAATAAAACCACGCGTTGAGTCAATGCGTAGTTTCGAAAAAGATACTCAATTGAGTAGATCTCATGCTCATTTTGTAAATCAAAAACGTCCTAGATATAGAAATTGGAAGAGACTTTTGTAGTTCGCCATTTGTTGTTTAACACGCACAGCTTGTCGCGCCTCCTTTCTTTTCAATTTTCAATCCCGCTGACAGTGATGTGTCCTGTACATAGTAGAAACAGGCCTTCCTAGCGAATTTACCCGAATCTTACCCATGAGCTGCTCAAGTATGCCCCATATCAAACAAATTCTGCTCTCTCTCTCACCTGACAGTTGTGACAGTTCTTTAACATCTACTCCCACTATGTAGCTCTGTCAATTTTTGAGCACTATTTTATTCTCTTCATTTATCATTGGTTATAGAACTTTTTAGATGGCATCATCTAGAAGCAATTGTGGGTAATGAGTTCACGGAATCAAGGGGAAGTGCCCTTGGTGAGTTTCTTTCTAAGGCATAAAGTAAAATGCATCTCGGTTTTCATTGAGAACGCTTATTAGCGTCAAAGTATAACGGGTTTCACTTATTTGCCATTAAACGTTAGCCTAGCTAATTTGGCAATGCAAAATCTAATGTGCTGTTTTCTGACCTGAGAAATCAAAATATTACTTTATTCTAGTCCCTTTACATCTAATCTTTTAGGAAACAATGGTTATCCGAGCACAAAGTGAGTCGGTAGAGACTGCGGCTGAGTCATCAACGCCACAAGAGGTTGCTAATATTTGAGTTCTATATCTTTCACTTGAATTTTTAGGAAGTACAACAACGAAAGAAATACAACATGCCAGCGGGATTTTGCCAATATGTAGCGGAGATGCAGCGAAATAAAAGAGCTTTAAACAAATTAAAGTAAGCTTTTCAAAGGTTCTAGCAAGCACACATTTTTATTAAGAGTGACGACCATGGACGACGGATATCGATACGAAATGCAAGGCGACAAAAAGGGAAGCGAAGAAGAAACACTCCGGCTTTTGCGTCATAATGTGGGAATTGATGTTTAGCGCGATTTTTCATAAAATACTTGAGTCTTTACGTGTTTTTTAGTACAATCTGCTACCTGCCAAAAGAAAGTTGGAGCTGGAATTGAAATACCGCAGTCAAAAGAGCTCATCAAAACGACTACGTATGGAGGCGACAGAAGGTATTGAAAGATTCAAACGACTCATCTTTTACTCTTTAGGTACATTTGCTGGCACATCCACATGCAGTGTTGTATGCATGTCACTTTTGTCTACATGCTTTCACTACATCAGACTTGCTGAATGTTCACGACTGCAAGGAATTTCGAGACTGAAAAAAACGCACAAAAGTCACTTCAACTGGTCTGTTTTAAACTCTACGCGTTAGAAAAAAAAAATAGAACTTCCAACACTGAAAATTCTTTATTTTTAGCCTGCGATGGTGGAAGCTCGAGTATTCGTGTGTTGTACCGATTGCGAAGAGTACCTTCGTTGTCGATCGAGTGAAATCGAAAGTCTTCAAAAATTTGTCGTATGTGATTAGTTCACGATTAGTTCATTAGATCATGTGATTATGTAGTTTCACCAATTCAAAATGATTCAACCGTTTTCATAATTTTGTTTAGGAAGAGCATTTGGTGAATCGAATCGTTACAATTGTAGTCAACTTCGCTGGACACACGCCAAACAAGAATCCAGAAGATATGTTTAAGACTGTACCATCGTTTTTGAGGCAATTGCCAACAACTTGACAACAACTTGACAACTTGCCAACCCAATGAAGATCCGCGTGATTCTGTAAAAGTTATTTTCGTTCATTGGATCTACATCAGGAAATTTAAGGTTTTCACAGTACATATGCATGAAATCCAAAACACGAGACAGGCGTATCATCGCTTTCAATGCAGCTTCTACGGATGCTCTTTGCTTCCACTTCGAGTTCATCTTGCCACGAGGCATCAAATCGGAACGAATGTTTTGCTTGAAAAAGGAGGTAAACTTTATTCTGCTAATTAACTTATACATTTATGAGTGGGAAAAACCAGGAAACCATGTTTTCATTTTAGAAAGCTCAAAGGTTCGACTGACGGTTGGACTCGTTGCCTCGTCGATCTCGTCAATCACCGGATGGAACCTCTAATCCTGCTATGGCTTTCCAACTCGAGGTCGGGCGCTTTTTTTGAGTTTCGCAAGGGGAAAAAAAGTTTAGACGCTTGTACTCTCTGAATTGTTGGATGGAAAAATGGGAAATTTAAAGGAAAAGATAAACTCCACATCAGCAGCGAGATCCGAAGAACCCATGCAAACAACGCCTATGGATACATCTATGATCGAAGAGATAAATGGTATATTTTTCTATTCCATTGATCTTAAACACTCGTGTTTAATAGCAAGCGAGATCCAGGAGAACTTGCCGGAAGAATTGGAACCACAAGAAGTCATTCCAGCAACACGGTCAAATCCAGATAATGAGCAAACAAGAATTGGTAATGATTAAGACTTCATGGCGCATAACGTTTTCTTTATAGCTGCAAACAACGAAGAAACGCTGGTAGAAAAAGCATCCGAGGCGCCCTTTCCAGAGGACGATCCAGTAATTTCAACAGAGCCAAATCCTAATACAAACGACGTGACAACCCCGGAAAAGACGCCAGAAGATACAACTTCTCCACGAGAAGAACCAGCGCCCATTCAGACGGAGTCAAATTTGGATACTGTTATAGCCAAACCGCAGAATGGTAACCCTTCGAATTTTTATAGAATTTATGGGTTTTTTTAGTTACAACTGATGATATCCGGAGCACATCGTTACGCACTGAATCTGGCGGCACCTTAGCCAAAAATCAAACGGAATCGCGACAAATAGAGGACGAATTGACTATAGATCCTACCGAGGAAGAACAAAGTGTTCTGAAACGAAGAATGTCAAGTTGGTTTTTAATGTTTACGGCATTTATCTTACTTTTTAGTTGCTGTCAATTTGACGTCGATATTGCAAGAACCGATCCGAGAAGAAACAAATTATGTGGCGGCCAAAGATAAATCTTCAAGCGCTAAGGACGCGGATGATGACGATATAATACTTGTGGTGAGCACCTTCACATAAATAACACCATAACTAAAATCACTAGTTTGTTTGGGGTATGTGCGCTTAGGCATCAAATTAAAACAGAGAAGATGGGCGATTCGTTGAGACACATATTTTTAGCATTAAGCAGCCCTTAGAAAAAATGATAGAAAAGTGGCAAAAAAGGAGTCGATTCTCGATCATTTTTTCTAAGTGCTGCTTAATGCTAAAAATATTTGTTATATCTCAAAGAATCACCCATCCTCTCTGCTTTCATTTAATATCTAAGTGCGCAGAAACAAACGTACTGGTGTCGAGATATCAGCTTTTGTTTGAGAGTAAACTTAGACTACGCGACGCTCCTATAGAGGGGGGCTACTATTAGAGCTTTTACGGTACCCAAAAACCTATAAAAAGTCGTGAAGAAGAATAATCCAAAGAGAAATCGAAAAAATATGGATTCCAGGAAAAGAAAAGGTAATAAAAACTGGCAAAATTAATGGTTGCCAAGAAAAAGAATAAAACTAAATCAGAGAAAAAGGCAACAAACCTTCGCGTTGGGAGAAGCGGACACGGCGGAAGACCGAGAAGAATTTGGCGATTCGACGAAACATTGCAAGAATACTTTGAATGATAAAGTTACCCGTGTTCGAATCATTTTATTTCAGCTTTAAATGCAAATTTCGGCTCACAATACTGTTGATACTAAAATACAAAAAATACTACTAAATAGTTAATAATTGGTTACTAAAAATACTACTAAAATAGTTACGTAGTTTATATTTCCGAAAATTTGCATTTAGAAAAAAATTTGTTTGTTATTTTTTGTATTTTAGTATCAACAGTATTGTGAGCCGAGCTTGTAGTGAAGTCAAGACAAGTAAGGCCTTAATTTTAGACTTGCCTAGCCGGCTCACAATACTGTTGATACTAAAATACAAAAAATAACAAACAGTATTGTGAGCCGAGCTTGTAGTGAAGTCAAGACAAGTAAGGCCTTAATTTTAGACTTGCCTAGCCGGCTCACAATACTGTTGATACTGCTTGAAAATAAAAAAAATATAAAATTTGCTTGCGAAAATTTGCATTTAGAAAAAAATTTGTTTGGAGAGTTTTGAAATTTGCATTTAAAGCTGAAATAAAATGATTCGAACACGGGTAACTTTATCATTCAAAGTATTCTTGCAATGTTTCGTCGAATCGCCAAATTCTTCTCGGTCTTCCGCCGTGTCCGCTTCTCCCAACGCGAAGGTTTGTTGCCTTTTTCTCTGATTTAGTTTTATTCTTTTTCTTGGCAACCATTAATTTTGCCAGTTTTTATTACCTTTTCTTTTCCTGGAATCCATATTTTTTCGATTTCTCTTTGGATTATTCTTCTTCACGACTTTTTATAGGTTTTTGGGTACCGTAAAAGCTCTAATAGTAGCCCCCTATAGAGCGTCGCTAGTCTAAGTTTACTCCAAACAAAAGCTGATATCTCGACACCAGTACGTTTGTTTCTGCGCACTTAGATATTAAATGAAAGCAGAGAGGATGGGTGATTCTTTGAGATATAACAAATATTTTTAGCATTAAGCAGCACTTAGAAAAAATGATCGAGAATCGACTCCTTTTTTGCCACTTTTCTATCATTTTTTCTAAGGGCTGCTTAATGCTAAAAATATGTGTCTCAACGAATCGCCCATCTTCTCTGTTTTAATTTGATACTTAAGCGCGCAGAAACAAACGTACTGGTGTCGAGATATAAGCGCTTGTTTGAGAGTAAACTTAGACTATGCGACGCTCCTATAGGGGGGCTACTATTACAGCTTTCACGGTATTTTATGTTGAATCATGAATATGCATTCCAGGAATACCGATCCAAAAATATAAAAGTTTCGGAATGAATTATTGTCGTTTTTCCTAATTTTGGTTCTAGCCAGTTAAGTTCTATCAATTCTCTCTTTTTTCAGAATTGGAACGACCGCGAGCAGATGATTTAGAGGAAGATGATGATCCAAATTCTTGGCAAACACCAAAAGCTGCAAGGTCACCAAGCAAGGAACAGCGCGCTCTCAAGAAGCAGGAGAACAGGGACGTCAAATTGAAGGTAACTTTTTGTTTTATAGCTAAATTCATAGCATTCTATGATTGCATGTGGTTCTATCCGTCAAAAGTTTATAATCTTTATAAAAAGAATTTCGAATTGATTATTTTTTAAGTTTTCTTCGAGATTTATTTATGAAAATATCTGAGATACATCCAACGGTCTATTTGATTTCTCTCGCTCAATGGCTTATTTTATTGTTTTTAGAAATGGCAAGATCGCGCCCGAGCCTGGAACAACTCTTATACGGCACAAGATTTTGGTAGGTCTATTTGTTTCATGTTTCAATCATTCATTTTGCTCTTTTACAGGACATACCGTTGGATCAGCGGACCCAGGAAATGAAAAGTTCCCGGAGAAGCATGTGATTATCTACACGGATGGTAGCTTCAATGTACAGAGTGGATACGGTGGAATTGGAATGTTTGTGGGCAATGGCCACCCCCTGGAACTGTAAGTGTTTTTGTACTATCACTGTAGTTACACTATATAGTTAAATAGTAGTTTCTCTTGTGAAATTGAATGATGATTACTGTTCAATTAGCCAATCAAAATTTAAAGATTCTTTTAAATTTAGAGGGCTTGCTATGGAGAAAGGGCTGAAGTCTTCTTTTGTTCCGGAGCTATTTGCCATCATTGTGGCTCTTTGCAGAGTCTATTGCTGGGCGGGATATCGGTAAGTACTTTAATTTGTGTAATAATACTTTCCTCCAATTTTGTGGATAAAAATTTTTTGAACATTTAGAGACCAGTCGATCATCTTACGAACCGATTGCAAAGATTGTGTGACGGCGATTTCAAATCTCTGCAAGGGAGAGAAAAAGGAACTTCAGGACAATAATAAAAAAAATTTGGAGGCGGACAATAGGGAGAAGTTTGTTCTTGCATTTATATTGCTTTATATTCTGCGTTTAGCTTGAAATTTGTTCAACACATCATTAAGCAATTCTCAGCAAAGGTCGTGCTTCAATGGGTCGAAGCCCATTCGGATTCGGGCAAACATCCAGGAAACAAGATGGTAATGCTTTATGATATGTTATTTACAGAATGGTTCTAGAGTTTATTTTTTGTTTGCTTTGATTCATTTTGTTCATTTCAGGCTGATGCTTTGGCCGTGGACGCTCGAAAGAGCGCGGAAGCGCGTGATCCGGATGCTCAAGCCTCGCCTCAGAAAAGCCAATCTCCCGATAAGCAGCCAAGGAAGCGAAAGGTCTCCTTTAATGAAAGTGAACACCAATACACCAAGGATGAAGAAAGTATGTTTTTAATTTATTTTGAAGAAAGCATTTTCCGATTTATTAAAAACAATTCTTAATTTAGAGCAAATGCCAGCAAAGCCCCGTACTTGGGAAAATTTGCTCGAGGACTTTGCTGCTAAATCTCTATGCGCACGAAGGCTCGACAGGATGAAAAAAGCAGAAGATAACGAAGAAGAGAACAACGACGACGGCTACAACCCCAAAAGCAAACTTGGAATTCGATTTTTGTCAGAAATTAATGTGTAATAAAGTAATAAATATTAGCTGACATATAAATTTTTTATCACCATTCTTATCATGGTATGAAGCACCAGTGTGAGACTCACCGTTTCAGGCCAAACAATGAGTGAAAATGAATAATTTTCGGTCTCTTTCGGCTCATTGCATCCAAAGTTCCTCATCAACGCATGGTAGAATCTCTTTTCTTTATTTTAAAAGTGTTCAAAATGTTATGACCAAGGTCCGGAAGCAATCGATTATGAATCCAATGTTTTTGAGCACTTTGAAGCTCATAAAGGAGTTTTCAAAAATGCGGTTTCAAGAGATTTGGCATCTACTGTTACCCTCTACACGTTTTTGCAGACAATTAGCTGATCGAACTCGGGATTTTCCCTCCTTCCATGAAATCATCTGGGAAATTGGTGGAATCTGTCTTTCAAAGTTGTCAGAAGCGTCATAGGAAACTTTGGACTTGGATGCCAACTCGGTAGTCCCTTGACTAGAAGAGATTTCAAGACTTTTAGAAAAGATTCATACCTTGGACGTGAAAGACTGAGCTATTTGGAAATTCTTGCAGTTTTATACAACCTTTTTGAATCTTTTGGAGTTATTTGGACTCTTTCTGTAAACTTTTTAGAGTTATCTGAACTTTTTGGACTTTTCCCGACTCTTTTTGGAACCTTTTTGTAGTCATTCGGACTTTTTTTAAGAGCTTTTTTGGAGTTATTCAAAACCTTTTCGAATTATTTGGAATCTTTGTGGAATCATTTATAATCTTTTTGGTACGGTTTTAGGCTCTATAGCGAGTGAATTTCGTTCAAATTTTAGACTTGTTTGGGATTTTTCACCTGAATGGCACAGCGTCTATTTTCAGTATGGAAGGAAATCAGTAAGCATAAAGCAGAATAGTTGTGCCAATTTTCTAGTTGCGTAACTAAACTGGAGCGATTTCTTAAAGCTGGGTGCGTCAAATTTCCAGGAGATTTTACCCTATCGAGGGTATTCAGGTAAAATTTGCAAATGGCCTTCAGAGTGTGCCCTTATTTTTATCAAAGTTTTTTCCAGATAAACGTTGCTGCACAGCTGGAAAGTGTCGGCGACTTGATGCCCTTCCAAATGGCCAAAGTCAAGCACTTGATCAAGAATGGACCGATCTCTTTTGGCTGATTGAATAGCATTTGTTTCATAAAAAATCTACAGGAATGGTGTTGAATCCGGATTTCCACTACTATGAGGGTGGGATTTTGATTTCGCAAAAAAAAGTAGACAATTAGATTTTACCTCTCGGCAAATCTTTTCTTTCTTTTTATATCCATTGGCAAATCTATTATTACCTAAGGCAAATGAGTCTTTGGCCAGTTAGCTGAGTATCTTCAATTTGAATTAAGGAAAAAACGCGCGAAACCTCCTGAACAATCGTTCATTCTACTAGCCTTCCCTAACGGGTGCCTATTCCATTTGAACTTTTTTGTCTCTCTTTGCTATTTGAAAGGTAAGCCCCTTATTATTTGTTTTTTTTTGCAGAGCTATTTCTGCCGGCCCCCGGAATTCGGGTGCAACGCGAGCCACGAGACGCCTGCGACTCTCCAACAGCCTAAACACCGGATCGCAGAAGTTTGTGAGTTTTTTTTGGTTTTCACCTAAATGCTTTTGCTCTTGTAAAGTTTCCAAAAGTGGCCTGTAGGTGCCCTGTTGTTTCCTTTTGTAAAAACTTAATAAAGATTAGCAAATTTCAAACTGCAACCTAGCCCATTCGCACCAAAACAAAGTGTGCGAAAGCGAACATCGTTTCGCTAAGCATCGGGCAGTTTCATTATTTTATACCTTTGATATTTATATTAATCTTGGGCAAACAAAGACGTCTAGCGCCCATTATTCTTTCCATGAACTTCACTTTAGCCACAGGGATCTAAAGCTAGAAAGTTAAAGTCAGTTTAGTTAAATCTTAATCTTAAATCTAATCAAAGAATTCCCAAACTTTCCAATATAAGCGACAGGACCGAGATTCTATTGGCGAGTGTATAGGTCCCGTGTAAAACCACAAATCCATCGGTACAGATAATAGGCCTGCATTGATAGAATAAAGAAACCCACTGATGCTAAACAGAATGAAGTTAACGCCCATGCCCAGATCTTATTTTGATCCAAAGGGGTAAGGTGCCATTGAATTTTGCCGATCATTGTCAAAAAAGATTAATTTCTAACGCACTGTTTCGGAAAAGCACATTCCTTTAAGTTAAAAAGCGGTTGTTTATGAGTTGCCTATAGAGAAGGCAACAAAACATCCTGAGGTGACTTTAGAAAGCTTTAGAGCAAAAGAATTTAGACCAAAAGCCGAAAACAGACTCACGAACTTGTTCGTTTCGACGATCAGGCTAATATGGTTGATAGTGTAGATAGTGTAGCGAGAGTGGGCCGGCCTGTCGTGGCTGAGCTGGCGTTGTGCCTGGTTGGTGTCTTCATAGTGAACCAATGAAACTAATTACACTCACATCTAATAGCGTGGGCGCAAGTGTCTTTTTCTCTTTTCACATTTTTTTGTATTATTCGCTCAAAAATTTAAGAACGGATTTTTCGTGTCCATAGATTACTGAAAATGACTTGGGATGTTTTAGTACCTCGGGGTTGAAATTTTTCATGCTTCTTATGGCTGATAAGGGGAGTTACCTAGAGATTGTTGAGAATTCTGTCTAGGGGGTGCCTCATATACATATTCTTCAACTGTAAAATTACTTCAGAATTATCCATAATCACTCTGGAGGGTCTGGCCCAGTCAAAGGATCACTGATTCCTACAAAAATTTCACAGGTTAATTTTGAGTGGCGGTGCCCAATATCTAACCGGAAGAGGCTCTAACCCGAACAATTTTTTTTGAATTTGCCTCTTGACTGGACTACAACCTCCAAGTGATTAGGATTAATTATGACACACTCTGTAAAAGCTTTTACTTCTGATTGTCTGTATCTATTTACAAATTCTAGTTGTTTTTTTACAGATAGAACGATGCCTTGGAGAATTCCGTTTGAAATGCGAAAGCTGACATCATTCTCAATCGAGAAGCTATGCTATGACCTAAAGCTGGAGGTTCTGGAGCAAATGGAGGCGGACGATGCGATTGAATTGGCCAAGGTGAATGCAGGATTTCGATCGATCCTGCTGCGGACACCCTGGATAGTTTTTGGGCATCAGGTGAGCTGCATCGAGAATCAAGAATTCGGCGCGATTTGGATCCAGAAATTTCCGTATGATGAGTGGTCTAGATACCATGATCCCACTCTCCACCTAGCATTGACCAAACGAATCCGCTCGTGTCATCGGTATCGTGTATTTTATTGGAACGACGAACACACGACCATCCTCGCGAATCAATTGAAGTCTGTGAAACATTTGGAAATCGAGGTGGACAAAAACGAGGTTTTGCTAAAATTTTTTGAGAATTACGGCTCGATGATCGAAGAATCCGCACTTTTTTACGGGAAAGTTGATTTGTCGAGTGAAGTGATCAAAGAGCTTTTCAAGAATTTCATTGCAAATCAGATGAATGATGGCAAAAGGGTCATGTTTTATTGCTTTTCCACTGCTGTCTTTCACTTCTACTACGATGCTTTTGTCAGCACTTCGGTAAAATTCTTGCAAGCGGATGTTAAAAGTGATATCTTTGAAGAGATCGTGCAATTAATCGTAAAAAAGCGGATCCCAAGCAAGAATTTGCAGGCGGCTTTTCATGTGGAAACATTCTATTCTCAGGAGATGCATGGCCGCATCGTCGATTTTCTTTCGCAATTCCCTGGAATGAAGCGATTCGGCGGAGTCACGAAAATGGCGAACGAACTCTTGGAAAAGCATTTGATCAACGTTTGGTCATTGCATGAGAATTTCACGGAGAAATCAAATCTGGCTTTTCGACGAAACATTGACTCCAACAGGGATTGTGTCTACATGTTTGAATCGCACAGGAAATACGTGACACAATTTTTGGCCTTCTATGTTTTGAATTTTGATTTTGAATAGGTTTTTAGGGTGTTTTCGGTTTTTTGTACGGTTTCAGGGCATTTATTATGTTATTTTCAGTTATTTCAGCCATTTTATTCATGCTCTTTATTATATATGCAACCGGAGTAGAATTAGACGAGGATGAAGCGATCGTTTTTATTTTGTCACGTGTGGTTCAGTTTTTCATGAGAATTTCCAAAATTATTTGTTTCTTATAAAGAGTAAAGTTTCATAGACAGCCAATAAAAAGTGAAATGAAAAAGTTAGCCAAAATATTTGAATGGGATACACATCGATTGGAGATCGGATAGATCGTCGCGTTTTCTTCATTTCTTGTCACCTTTGGGTCTGCCTGAGGTCGAGGATGGCTTGGACGTTTGCTTACTTTTACTAAGTGTCGAAGTTTTGGAATCCTTAAATTGGAATCCTTAAATTGTGTGAGACACTAAATCTAGTGCGCAGATTTGGGTAATAGGGTCAGGCTAGGGTCCCGGGGCAGGTAGGTTAGCAATTGCGTACCTTGACCTTGACCGAATTGACTTCAATTCCATTTCTTCTTGCAAATTCGAGGAACGAATCGAGATGTGGGCAATGTTCCTAGTAGTTTGGCGCTTGTTTCGGGCACTCCAAAACGATCAGATTGAAGCATGGTTGGTCTAGAAAGCATTAGAATGCTTTCTTTAGAAAGAATTCTGCGCTATTCGAATGAACTATCAGAAGAGTCAGAAGATGGAGTATCATAAGTGGATAAAATTGCGTCAATGAATCAGAGGTTTACATTTGATTTGCTAACGACTGTCTGGTTTTCAATATGGCCGATGGACAAATTGACGACTTGAGGAAGGGGCTTGAGGAAGCTCAACAAAGATACTAGAATTTAAGTAAGGGTTTTTTTTTTGCTTTGTTTTAAGGGTTAATTTTAGGAATTGCAGCGCAAAGCGACCACTCATTTGGAGCTAACCGATGCCAGTGACACAACACAGGTCTTGAATTTACAAAGTGCGAAGAAAGCAAGTCGTTTAGATATTCCACTTGCGAATGAATCCATTTGCAGTTTAAGCAAAAAGAGGAAGAAGAAGAACAAGGTAGAAAGAGGGAATTGGTAAATTGGTTTTTTAATCAAATCTAATTTTTTGCAGCCGCTTTCACTAAATAGTAATCAATTTTTAGGTAGATGCTGGACCAAGTGAAGACCACGGAGAGTTGGAGGCTAAACGAGCCAAAATGAATGAACGGGTGACTGGTATGGTCGTTTTTTTTCGTGCTTCAGTACCTGAAGAGCAACTTAGACGTGCAGAACAGTCGAAAGCAAAAGCCGTCGAAATACTATTTACTAAAGTATCTACTAATTTATGTCTAGGCTCAAGTTATCAATTTAGGGCAACTTGGCTCGTCGTTATCGAGAAGTTTCAACCGCTCTCACGGGATGCCAGATCAAGGCATGGCTTTGTGTGCGCTTGGTCAAACCGGGAATTTCAGATGCGAGATGAAGAGTGTCGTGTTGTGAGCTGTATTGGAGTTGAATGGAAGATGCTTTCGCGTTTAAGGTACATTTAGCAATTTAACGAACAAACTCGCATTTTCGTTGACATTTTACATGAATCTTTTCAGTACGAAGACGGGAACTTGATGTTAATCGCCCGTGATGAGGGATCTTCCGAGATCAGCTCTCAGAAGTGGCAGAAAGAAATGGGTAAGTGAGTGGTAGTTAGTTGGTAGATTTACACAAGAATCCAAGCTACTTGTACTTTACGTAAGCTATTATAAAAATGGTTTTTTGGTATCTCGGCGAATTGAGCAGTGTGGCGGCTTTTCTTTCACAAGTCACGATCTCTTTGGTGGAAACTGCACGAAGAGCGGACCCTCTCGCAACCATCATATTCTGTGATACACGATGATTGAAGTGCCTTTTGTAGCCGATTCAGTATAGTTGTCCTTTTTAAATGTCGATATTTATTACAAATTTTATATTTACAGATCTCATTTTGTTGTTTCTCGTTTTTGTATATTTATTGCAGTAAATTTTCTTAGAGTCAGCAGTTTTTGGAAGCTCGTTATTGGTCGCTTATTAATTTTCTAAAAACCAGCTGAAATGTCCATCTATCGGCGGGTTTTACAGCTGGCGTGTCGGGGTTACAGCTGGCGTGTCGGGGTTACAGCTGGCGTGTCGTGTGAGACAACGCATTGTCTCGCAAATGCTATCTTATTTTTGCTTTGTTAATGGGGCAGGTCACCAGAAAAATTGACTTTCTCAAACCAGGGTTCTATGACACTCAATATATGTAGTTTTACCCCCAATCACGAATATGCCATTAGAAAAGAAAATAAAAATTCCGTCATGGTGAGAGCTCTTCCCCTCTCGGGCCGAATAAAATTCTTAAATGTGGATACGGACGTTTATATAACGGAAATTTCCCAGGCTTTTGAAAGTTAATCAATTGCTTTAGGTAAACCAAGGCCATCCAGTAGTTGGCCTCCGGCTAACGCCGACGGTTAACTGCTGGATGGTCGGGGCCTTACGGAGTTCAAGAAATCATGAAGATTATACTTTTTATGTTAAAATAAGATTTGTAAGTGTTTTAGTATTTTAACTAATAAATTTAACAAAGTTGCCCTTCGCATTCACTGCAGTTGACCCGTTTTCCCCATAAAACACCCGATTTTCTTAATTTCATTTTTCACCTTCAAACTGAGCAGCTTTACAATCTTCTGCCAAATGTTCTTAGTTCTAGCTTTGGAAAAAGTTTCTATCAAAAAAATAAAGCTGAAAAACCATTCTGAGCAGCAGGGGAGTCGAACCAACAACCCTCTCTCCAGATTTTCAAAGGTATTCCTATTGACAACAACTGTTGCGTGGATAGCACAGACTTTCACTGTTAAATTGCTTACCGAAATTTTGTCGCCTACGTGAGAAGGAGAAACGACTAAAGATTAACGGGGGAGAAATTTGACGATAATGTGGCTGAAATGCGGGTGCAAAGATCAATTGAAAAGGAAAAAAGAAAGCTTTTTTAGTAAAGATATAAGTTTTGATACCTTGGCTAGCTTCAAGATTTGAGCTACAGTAACATCTCTTGCTGTAAAGAGTGCTACAGTGTGATTCTGCAGTACAGCATTATCGCTTACTGTTAAATTCTACTGTATTGCATCCACTATATAGCTTTGAGTTACCGTATTGAGTACTACAGCATGCTACGGTAGGGTCGGTAACGCCCAGAACTACAATATGAACTACAATATAGTATTCAAGCGTAACACTGAAACTGAACATCATATTAAAGGTTTAAAAAACATTCAGCTTTGTTGGCTGATTACTTTTATTTGAATAGTATCCACTATATATAAAAGAGAAGTGTCTGTCCTTCTGTACGCAACTTTCATCTCGAGAACGGGAGAAGCTAGAGCTTCAAAGACAACATGCTTATAGGTTTTTTGGGGGTCGAGGAGTTCCCCGTAGAGGGCAGATTTTTCAAAGTCAAAATTGAGTGGCACTACGAGGGGTCGAACCCGGATCGTGTGGGTCGTAGACAAGCGCGAGAGGTTGACACCTCTGAACTACGAAGCACTATAGAAAAACGTAACATTGTTTTTCTGAACTGAAAATTGAAATTGACTGCAGAAATTAACTTGAAATTTCATATAAATATGAAATTAGGGAAATTGAATAATTGGGTGTTGAGTCAAGTGTGTAATTACTTGAGCAAATTTTTCCAAGTCAATTTTTTACTTGAGTAAGCGTCAAGTAATGCCGATTCTAAAACGCGCTCCTTTAGCAGTTTAGTATAAAAGGAGCCAATTATTTTATTTTATAGACATGCTAGGCTTTTAGCTGGTTTCAATAACTAAAAACATTTATTTTTTTCTTTAATAAATGCTTGCAAGCAGTCTTTGTCAAATTATATGTAAATCAAAAATCTTTCTTAAAAGTGTTGACTCTGACCGGATTCGAACCAGCGACCTCACAGTGGCTCGTTTTAGAAGCTAACGCGTAACCCACTTGGCTATTCACAAGGTTACAGCAACTTTTTTCTTGGTTTCTTGGCAGCTTTCTCAGCAACTTTCTCGGCAACTTAGGCAACTTAGGCACTCGGCAACGACAACTCGCTTCACTCAAGCAGTACATACACTAGTGTTGAGTTATAGTCGACAAACCGAGTTTCCGTCTTCCTGTGGCACCCTGTAGTCATGAAAATGTCAATTGAAAATGAATAGAATAGAATGTCAATTGTTTAATACAATCTCATAGAACAAAATGATCACTCGAATCTTTATTGTCATCGAATCAACTCTTAAATATGTTTTTTTGAGCAATCAAACAAATGTTTCCTAATGTGCTAATGTGACTGGAAAGTTTTCACTTTGTGTGCGTAATTTAGTAAATAACAATGGTCAATCATAAAAGTATTTATCTTTGCTAGAATAAAAGCTTTCTCAAGAACATAGAATGAAAATTTTTTAAGCTCATAAAAGTTATTTTTTTTTAATTTTTTTTTATTATAGTTATTTTTTTATG